TTCATGACGCCAATTACATACGCGGCATTCATGCTCAACTTCAGCCTCACCGGATAGCTGGTTGTTCCACAGTTGGAGCTGCACCAGCGCTGTTAGCTTGCCCAGCTCCGGCGGGATAGGCCCTGTAAGCAGACAAGCAACTAGATTGATCCTCATTATTTTATGTTCGATCTCCGTAGATCCATGGACGTGTACGTAATTGGCGTCATTAAAGTTATCCCGCTAGTTCTAAAGTTTCGTGGACGCGTACGCGTTGGCGTCCACGAAACTTTTGTACGGGACCAATGTTCTAGAAAGCGGGGGGTTGTTTTCTTTTGTCCCGCTCAGCTACTCCGTTCCGTCCGTCCGCTTGCAGGCCCCATCCCATCGGAGCTTGGGCACCTTTCAGTACTGAAGAGGCTCAACCTTTCTGGAAACCAGCTAAGCGGTGAGACACTGTTCGGATGAGCTAAAAAAAATGCCTATGACTTTCCACGATGAATCCCGTGTATGCGTGGGTGAGTACGAAATTTCGCAATTTCGGAACTCGCGGGACATCTTTTGCTACGAGTTGCGTTATGAGTAGGTGTTTCTAGAAGCCGGGGCATTTAGCTTTGATTCTTTCCGCTACATTATGGGTACTGTGTTCTCGTTTTTTCTCCTTCGATTGCAGGTCCCATCCCTGTGGAGCTTGGACGGCTCGCCGCACTGGAGTACCTCAGCCTTGGGGCGAACGAGCTAACTGGTAAGTAATTTTGTTCCAGTTTCCAAGATGAATCCCGCCGATGCGTTGGCGTCCACGAAACTTTTGTACGGAAAACGCGGGGATTTTTCTTTAGTTGGCGGGACGGATCTTCTAGAAAGCGGGAGGTATCTTTTGGTTTTATCCCGTTAAACTGCCCTGCTTTGACTCGTTCAACTACAGGCCACATCCCGCGGCAGCTAGGAGATCTTGGCGCCCTCTACACCCTCGACCTCAGCTACAACAAGCTAGAGGGTGAGTTGAGTAGATAGTAAAAAACATTTGTTCTTTCGACTTCTGAACCTCCAGAACATCGGTCCCGCCTCCGCGTGGGTGAGTACGAAATTTCGCAATTTCGGAACTCGCGGGACATCTTTTGCTACGAGTTGCGTTATGTAAGTGTTTCTAGAAGCCGGGGCATTCAGCTTTGATTCTTCCCGCTACATTATGGGTACTGTGTTCTCGTTTTTTCTCCTTCGATTGCAGGTCCCATCCCTGTGGAGCTTGGACGGCTCGCCCTACTGGAGTACCTCAGCCTTGGGGGGAACGAGCTATCTGGTAAGTAATTTTGTTCCAGTTTCCAAGATGAATCCCGCCGATGCGTTGGCGTCCTCTTGAAATCGAGAGGCGGGATAATATTTCTTGTTTTTTTGTCGCGCTTGATTTCTATCGCCCTCCCTCCTGCCCGCAGGCCCCATCCCGCGGGAGCTCGGGAACCTCGTAGCGCTACAACACCTCAACCTTGGAAGCAACGAGCTAAGCGGTGAGTTATGGAGCGCAACATGATATCTGCATGATATTTGCAAATTTGAAGGAGACAAAATAAAAATCCCCGCGCTTTCCGTACAAAAGTTTCGTGGACGCCAACGCATACACGGGATTCATACTAAAATTCATTCACAAAATTTTAATACTCACCGCTCAACTGGTTCCACCGGAGGTTAAGCGTTTGCAGTGCTGCCAGGTTCCCCAGCTCCGGTGGGATGGCACCTGCAGCGAAAAGACGAGACTTATTTATTCAGCGGGGGAAAGCACGAAAAATGTCCCGCCTTCTAGAGAAATGTTCAGCCGATGGCTTCCTTAACACCTACTCACCCACGCGTAGGTGTCCACGAAACTTTTGTACGGGGCCAATGTTCTAGAAAGCGGGGGGTTGTTTTTTTTGTCCCGCTGAGCTACTCCCTTCCGTCCGTCCGCTTGCAGGCCCCATCCCATCGGAGCTTGGGCACCTTTCAGCACTGAAGCAGCTCCACCTTTACAGCAACCAGCTGAGCGGTGAGTCATTCCTGCAAGCATCGGCATGAATCCTTTTCACCCCACGGAAAAAATGAATGAATCCCGCCGATGCATCGGCGGGATTCATCTTGGAAACTGGAACAAAATTACTTACCAGTTGGCTCGTTCCCTCCAAGGCAGAGGTACTCCAGTACGGCGAGCCGTCCAAGCTCCACAGGGATGGGACCTGCAATCGAAGGACGAGAACACAGTACCCATAATGTAGCGGGAAGAATCAAAGCTAAATGCCCCGGCTTCTAGAAACACTTATCAAATTAACGCAACTCGTAGCAAAATATGTCCCGCGAGTTCCGAAATTGCGAAATTTCGTACTCACCCACGCATACACGGGATTCATGCACGGAACAAGTTTGGTAAACATTCAACATCCCCAAAAAAGTTGCAAAAGTTGGTACCTGTCAGCTTGTTGTTGTGGAGGGCCAGCACCTGCAGCTCGCTGAGAGCTCCCAGCTCCGGCGGGATGCACCCTGCAAGCCAAAGGGGGGATAGCGGAGATAGTAAGCGGGGGAAAACACAAAAATCCCCCGACTTCTAGAACACCTACTCACCCATGCGTACGCGTCCACGAAACTTCAGAACTAGCGGGATAACTTTCATGACGCCAATTGCATACGCGGCATTCATGCTCAACTTCAGCCTCACCGGATAGCTGGTTGTTCCACAGTTGGAGCTGCACCAGCGCTGTTAGCTTGCCCAGCTCCGGCGGGATAGGCCCTGTAAGCAGACAAGCAAACTAGATTGATCCTCATTATTTTATGTTCGATCTCCGTAGATCCATGGACGCGTACGTATTTGGCGTCATAAAAGTTATCCCGCTAGTTCTGAAGTTTCGTGGACGCGTACGCATACACGGGATTCATCTTGAAACTTCATGGGAATTTTTTTCAACACATCTAAACAGTGTCTCACCGCTTAGCTGGTTCCCGTCGAGGTTCAGATCTTGAAGCGCTGCGAGCTTTCCCAGCGCCGGCGGAATGGAGACCTGTAAGTGGAAGAAGGAAAACGGAGAGATGGTTGCGGGTCAAAACAAAAATAATGTCCCGGCTTCTAGACCAGTGAGTGGACGCCAACTACATACGCGGGACAAATGTTTTAGAAGCAGTGTTTGGAAATACAATGAAATAAGACCCTTGCAGTTGTTATAAGCCGATTGAAGTTTCCACCAAGCTCCTGCGGCCCCGTGAGCGCTCCCAGCTCCTTGGGTATCGACCCCTCACAATGCAACAGAACAGCAACATACAATATGGGAAGATCGCGTAATCAAGGCTTCTAGAAGATGTGTCTTGCAGACAGGGTGAGTAATACACGACTCACGTGTTCAGTTCTGAACTGCTGATGCATACGATAGGTTTTGTGTTGCTTGTGCAGGGACCATCCCGAAGGAACTCGGAGCTCTGAGGCAGCTGGGTCATCTTTGGATTCCCAACAACCAGTTTTCCAGTAGGGATTGTACCAAAAGCTGCATTCTATGCATACATCAGGTAGTTTTCCAGCACTTTGAGAGTAGCTCGTTATTCGTGCGTTACGGCATGCACACGATCTGTAGACACTATATAGATATGCAAGGGAAGCTCACCGCTGAGCTTGTTGAAATGCAAGTAAGTCGTTGCCAGTTGCCGAGGCGCCCTAGCGATGCTGAATGTTCTCTGCGGGTCACTCGGGGAGTGTGCATGATTGAGGTTCGTCGGTTTAACCCGACGGTATGTCCTTACTTGTGTCACGGTTTTTCTGTTCTACAAAATCAACCGATCACACCACGTTTCCATGCAGGACTATGGCACACACTCGGACAGGACCAGACTGGTTCAATGGCAGCCCGGCCAGGTGTGTTGAATACGTTGTTCGTTTCTCGACGGTGATATTGTGCCAGCATGTACATAGGTAATGGTCATGGGGGCTGATGAAAATAGTAACCTATGGTGCACCCGCTCTATCGTGTGCTTTGCGGGGCAGTCGCATAGTTCGGAATTGGGAGGCCTAGATTGAATAATGGATGGCGCCAAAGTCGATCGTATGGTTTCATTGGGCATGCTCTGTATGCAAAATACTTGTGTTTGCTCAGTGCGTGCGGAGAGCATCCAGGTTATCGAAAGTACCTTTGAAGCTTTGGATGGCGCTTGCATGTTTCACATAGGTGGGCTGACCTGATCTGCCCCTGCTACGCTGTCGATCTCGCTGTGTGCTCTCTAGAGCGTGTTTATTCGTCCGCGTGGTTTGACACAAAATTTCTCCCCGAATTGAAGAGATGGAACCAAGGATCTATTCCTGCCTACACAGCAGTGTTTGTTTGTGCGTACCTTTTTAGGGTAAGATAGCCTGTGACCACGGGAATCGACCGCGTCAAGTGTTGGATAAGTACCGACATATGAAGGTACTGGGTAGAGAGAGATCGGAACGGTTTTTAATGTGAAGACAACAACAACAAGTGTTACGGAGAATATAGTGTTTTTGTTTGTCGGCGCCAAGCAAGTTCGAACGTAATTTGCAGGGGAGGCGGTACATCCACGCCGCAACTGGAAGCCTAGTTGTGGACGCGGAGGGTAGGTGACCTGGTCGAGATCGAGGCGCTGAGTAGTGTGGTATGCACACCCATCGTTGCAGTTGGCAGCATGACTTTGCATCGCTCCGCCCGACCGCATGTTGTGCGTTTATTGATGCTTTCTAGGTACGCTTCCGGTGGATTTAGCCCGTCTTCTGGACAGGTTTGACGGGCTTGTAACTTTGGACCTTTCCCGAAACCCGTGGGAGCACCCTCCCGAGGCGATCGTGGCGGGTGGCGTGCAGGCGGTGAGGGGCTACTACGATGCCATGTTCAAGGGCGGAACTACCGCTGTGACCCGACCGCTTAAAGTCGTCATCATTGGAAAGGAGACTGTGGGCAAGACAAGGTACGAAGGCCACTTATTGATTCTCCATTTTTCCTTGTACTACATGTGCTCACTCGACTTTGTGCAAATATTTTCTTCACAGTTCCACATCGCTGACCGCTGGGGTACGAGCACCGACACTAACCCGCTGTTGTAAGTCATTGAAGGACGGTGCTATACAGCCATATTTGTTGAACGGTGAGAGCGAGGTCCGGCGCTCCACAAATGTTGAGTGTGTGTAGGGTAAAACTGTGTCCTGCAGGGGAATATGGTCCAACCAATGCACCTGCCCTCCCCGCGGGATCGCCAGTGCGATTGTTTTTCGGTGCTTCTCAACA